AAGGAGCCGGTCGGCCGAGCGGACAGCACACTGGACTTGTGATCATGTGGTCCCGGGTTCGATTCCGGGCGCCGGCGAGAAACAATGGGCAGAGTTTCTTTCACCCTATGCCCCTGTTACCTAACAGTAAAATAGGTACCTGTGTGTTAGTCAGCTGTCACGGGCTGCTTCCTGGGGGTGGAGGCCTGGTCGAGGACCGGGCCGCGGGGACAATAAAGCCCCGAAATCATCTCAAGATAGCCTCGATACTGTAAGCGTTTTACTGAACCGCTTAATAAAATATACTGACTATACACCATCCTATAGTGTATACCAAGTATAACACACTCAAGGCTGCTTCATGATATATACTGATACTCTACATTCCTGTTAAATTATTAGTTAACGCGATACCACTTGACAAATATAACGTTAACTAGTTCGTTTTAAACTAGTTTCAACCGTTAACTAGTTTAATTTAAATCAACGGGGGATGACTTGTCGGTTTGTTTCACCAATACGAAAGTTAACATAAAGGGGAAAATATATATGTATTCAACCACATGTGAGAAATAAAGGAATATATATTAAATGAGCCTCGACCGGGTTGATCAGTCCAGCAACCAGGAGGCCTGGTCGACGACCGGGCCGCGGGGACACTAAGCCCCGGAAGCACCTCAAGGTAGCCTCAAGGTGGTAATTCGTCTAATGACAGAACTAGGTGATTACACCTAGCTTGTCTGAGAGACTAGTGAGAGTTACAGCTTAATTCTTTGTGTTTTGTGTTATGTGGAAAATAAATAAATTATTTAATTTAGGCTTCTTTTGTTTTTTTTTTATTTTTTGTTTACGAGTTGATGTTCTCTTGTTTGGAAAGTGTTTTTGTTTTTGTTAAGGTATTTGTCATGATTAGTTTTATTATTTGAATAATTATGTGTAAACACGTTAGTCATCTCTAGCAGTGTGATTATTATTGTGTGAGAGAGAGAGAGAGGGAGGGAGAGTGAGCAGGGAGGGAGGGAGAGAGGTAGAGAGAGGTAGAGAGAGAGAGGTAGAGAGAGAGAGAGGTAGAGAGAGAGAGGTAGAGAGAGAGAGAGAGGTAGAGAGAGAGGTAGAGAGAGAGAGAGGTAGAGAGAGAGAGAGAGAGAGAGAGAGAGAGAGAGAGAGAGAGAGAGAGAGAGGAGAGAGAGAGAGGTAGAGAGAGAGAGAGAGAGAGAGAGAGAGAGAGAGGAGAGAGAGAGAGAGAGAGAGAGAGAGAGAGGTAGAGAGAGAGAGAGGTAGAGAGAGAGAGAGGTAGAGAGAGAGAGAGAGAGAGAGAGAGAGAGAGAGAGAGAGAGAGAGAGGTAGAGAGAGAGAGAGAGAGGTAGAGAGAGAGAGAGAGAGGTAGAGAGAGAGAGAGAGAGAGAGAGAGAGAGAGAGAGGTAGAGAGAGAGAGAGGTAGAGAGAGAGGTAGAGAGAGAGGTAGAGAGAGAGAGAGAGAGAGAGAGAGAGAGGTAGAGAGAGAGAGAGAGAGGTAGAGAGAGAGAGAGGTAGAGAGAGAGAGAGGTAGAGAGAGAGAGAGGTAGAGAGAGAGAGAGGTAGAGAGAGAGAGAGGTAGAGAGAGAGGTAGAGAGAGAGAGAGGTAGAGAGAGAGAGAGGGTAGAGAGAGAGAGGTAGAGAGAGAGGTAGAGAGAGAGAGTAGAGAGAGAGAGAGGTAGAGAGAGAGAGAGAGAGAGAGAGAGAGAGAGAGAGAGAGAGAGAGAGAGAGGAGAGAGAGAGAGAGAGAGAGAGAGAGGTGAGAGAGAGAGAGAGAGGTAGAGAGAGAGAGAGGTAGAGAGAGAGAGAGAGGTAGAGAGAGAGGTAGAGAGAGAGAGAGGTAGAGAGAGAGAGAGGTAGAGAGAGAGAGAGGTAGAGAGAGAGAGAGAGAGAGAGATAGAGAGAACGAGAGAGAGAGAGAGAGAGAGAGAAGGGGCAAATTGGTCATTAAATATAGAACTACCTATCAGAAAGTTAATGGTGATCATTGCTGTTTGTCTCTGTCCGCCTGTGTCTGTGCCTCTCAATCTGTCCATCTATCTGTCTGCCCGAAGATCCGTCAATCTCTCTGTCAGTCACTATGTCTGTCTTTTCACTGTATTAGCCCGTAAGGTGTTTAGTAAATCACTATCGGTTACATAGTTTATTTAATCACAGGAACTGGTGTACAGGTAGAGATGAATTTTGGTAGCAGATGTGTATATGTAGTACTTGTGTACATGGTAGCTATATGTACATAACAGCTGGGTGTACATGGCAACTTTATGTACACAAAAGCTGGGTATACTGGACAGTTTACACATCTCTACACTACCACGAAATACTGAACACATGATAATCTCGTTAGGTAATTAGCTTTCAATCACATCAGTATTATTGAACATTCTTGAACAGTCTTGAACGTAGAACAAAAGCATTGTTAATCAACATTGTGGTGTATGTTAATATACATTTGTTTTGTTTAAGTGATATTTAACGCTTATATATTTATATATATATATATATATATATATATATATATATATATATATATATATATATATATATTATGCAAAATTTATCTTTTTTTTTAACTTCGCTGTTTTGAGGCAAAAGGCATTTGTAAAAAATATAAAAATGTATTAAGTCAATGTACTTGTTAGTCATAAATCAATTTAGAATCCTAGTGAATCATAATGCCTTCAATATTTATAATATATCTGGGATTAATTTTAGTTCATTGTTTAATGTTGAGGAGCTTGGAGTGCTGTTTAGGGAGAAGATATTTCGTTTCATTGTTCCGTTATCAGCGGTTGGCCGTGATAACATTAGTTGTTATCTGTAATAACAGTGATATGAGCGGTGTTGAATGATTCTCTCTCTCTCTCTTTCTTTATATATATCTATGTCTCTCGTCTTCTCTGTATGTCTTTGTTTCTCTCTTTCTCTGTATGTCTCAGTCTCTTTCTCTGCCGTAATAGCTCTCTTTCTCTCCCTTAATAGCTCTCTTTCTCTCCCTCAATAGCTCTCTTTCTCTCCCGCAATAGCTCTCTTTCTCTCCCTCAATAGCTCTCTTTCTCTCCCTCAATAGCTCTCTTTCTCTCCCTCAATAGCTCTCTTTCTCTCCCTCAATAGCTCTCTTTCTCTCCCTCAATAGCTCTCTTTCTCTCCCTCAATAGCTCTCTTTCTCTCCCGTAATAGCTCTCTTTCTCTCCCTCAATAGCTCTCTTTCTCTCCCTCAATAGCTCTCTTTCTCTCCCGTAATAGCTCGCTTTCTCTCCCTCAATTGCTCTCTTTCTCTCCCGCAATAGCTCTCTTTCTCTCCCTCAATAGCTCTCTTTCTCTCCCGTAATAGCTCTCTTTCTCTCCCTCAATAGCTCTCTTTCTCTCCCTCAATAGCTCTCTTTCTCTCCCGTAATAGCTCGCTTTCTCTCCCTCAATAGCTCTCTTTCTCTCCCGCAATAGCTCTCTTTCTCTCCCTCAATAGCTCTCTTTCTCTCCCTCAATAGCTCTCTTTCTCTCCCGCAATAGCTCTCTTTCTCTCCCTCAATAGCTCTCTTTCTCTCCCGCAATAGCTCTCTTTCTCTCCCTCAATAGCTCTCTTTCTCTCCCTCAATAGCTCTCTTTCTCTCCCTCAATAGCTCTCTTTCTCTCCCTCAATAGCTCTCTTTCTCTCCCTCAATAGCTCTCTTTCTCTCCCTCAATAGCTCTCTTTCTCTCCCTCAATAGCCTCTCTTTCTCTCTCGCAATAGCTCTCTTTCTCTCCCTCAATAGCTCTCTTTCTCTCCCTCAATAGCTCTCTTTCTCTCCCGCAATAGCTCTCTTTCTCTCCCGTAATAGCTCTCTTTCTCTCCCTCAATAGCTCTCTTTCTCTCCCGTAATAGCTCTCTTTCTCTCCCTCAATAGCTCTCTTTCTCTCCCGTAATAGCTCTCTTTCTCTCCCTCAATAGCTCTCTTTCTCTGCCTCAATAGCTCTCTTTCTCTCCCGTAATAGCTCTCTTTTTCTGCCTCAATAGCTCTCTTTCTCTTCCTCAATAGCCTATCTTTCTCTCCCGTAATAGCTCTCTTTCTCTCCCTCAATAGCTCTCTTTCTCTCCCTTAATAGCTCTCTTTCTCTCCCTCAATAGCTCTCTTTCTCTCCCTCAATAGCTCTCTTTCTCTCCCGTAATAGCTCTCTTTCTCTCCCTCAATAGCCTATCTAAAATTACTATATTTTATTTTAAAATATTTTACCTCTACAATATTAGGCTATTCGCTTGCTACTATAATCTGTATTATTTTCCGGAAGATATTATACATTTGTACAGAATTGTTCATGACACTCTCGGATGCCTTTATCAAACTTTTTATTTAATTTTCATTTATCAGTTATTTTAAGCGGATATTTTTATATATTTCTGTTAATTAGCTATCAGATAATTTACTGTAATTTTCGTTATGCAGTCAGCTGTTGTTTATGGAACACGCACATTACTGTATTCGAACATTACTATAATCGAACATTCCTATATCCGAACATTATTATATCTAGGATTATATTTGGACGTTACTATACCCAATAATTGTTATATCTTATAATCGGACATCAGTATGTCCGAACAACATTATATCCGAACATTATTAATCCGAATATTATTATTTTCGGATATTGCTGTATCCGAACTATGCTATATCCGAATTATTTAGTAAATCACTGTTTTTTTCAAGCAGACAGCCTCTGCTAAGGCTGTATGATGAGGCTAGGAACACATCGGTTATCCGAAGTGACCGGATATCATTCAGATATCCGAACACTGTCTAAACCTTTCAGCATTTCAGAAGATAGCATCGGAATGCGCTTGTGGAAATAGCAAACTGTGGCCGGATGTTAAAGCATCCGAAAGCCTTGACCGGATGTAACAAGCAGTAGTATATAAAGCACAGGGAAAGTATAAATAGATTCGTTATCCGGACAGCCGGATATCACTTAATGTTATCCGAGCTGTGTGGTCGGATATCGACGGTATTACAACAGGATAAACGTCCTATTACAGTATGTAGTGTTTATTATGAACTAAATATGCAAACATGTAACATATTTTCAAGTAATTGAACAAGGACTTTTTTATGAACACTTAGAAACATTACTTACAAATACAAACACTGAAGAACATCATGCACGAACATCATACCTGATCATATTTGAACATAATACTTGAACATCATACTTAAAGAATATAACATATGTACATTGCTTCTCAGTTTGTACCTGACCTTGAGATTTGAACATCAGCTGAGCTAAATGAACTAAAATACTGTTCATTTTCTACACAAATTCAAAGTGTTGTACATTCTTTGAGCTGCAAGGACAATGGTGTATAAGGCCGTTTATTCACTTGAAACGTGAAGATACACGTTCTGAGTAAACATGTGAATATGAAGGATTAAATATAGGATATTTAGCCAGGTTTTTTTTTAATTACTCTATTATTTTTATGTTGTATGATTCGTGAAATACAACAAAAATTAATTTATTTTTATATTTTTGGGGCTTTCTAGCTATACAATTCTTATCATATTAATAAACCTAAATCTTAGTATTGTCTAATAAAAATTTATAATTAGTTATCTATACATAAGTTTTCTTATAAATAAGGATTTGGTGTCATTTAAAATACTTTATAACACATAATAACTCACTTATGCGCTGTCACTCGATGGGCAGAGCTGTAAGTTAAAAGTAAAATGACTTAATGTAGCTGAGATAAACTGGCCCAGAGGAGGTTAGGGAGCGAAGGTCTAGGGCGTTAAGCAGCGTAGCGAGATCACATTGCTGTAATTGGGGGCCTAACCGGGAGCAATGTTAACGGTTAATGCTAGTACGGGGAACATAATCATATGTCTTTTCTCATTTAGATTTATTCTGTGTCTTGTTTTATTTAAATTTGCTCATCGTAGTATATTGTTTGTATATTTTGGGTAATTTGTATTTGAAGATGTCACACGTGGCTGTGCTGAGACAGACTGAACACTTCTGCTAGGTCTTTATGGACCATAATTGACTGGATAGTACTATACATTTTTGAACTATCGCACTCAATATTGATCTGAGGGTGAGTTTGTCAGGCTTTGAGCTCGTGTAAGATATGAACACCTGTGACAGGAAGATAAGGTATTTGTCACGAGTCAAACACTCGTTCTTCCATTGCTTCGGCGGGGACTTGTCACCTTACTGCCCTGAAGAGTGTGAAGGTCTTGACTCTGGCTACGACATAGCTGGAGTCTGACACACAGGTGGTGGCGTGAACCACTGGTGGACCAGTGGTTCATCAGAGCTCAGGTGAGAACCAGTGTATACAGAAGTGAACAGAAGAGCTAATCTATAAGTGGAGTTGCATATCATCGTTTGCAAATGATTCTGCACAGTTAAGAGGCAAGTGATTGTTTACAATGCTAAATAGCCCTGTAATACAAGTATGAAACGGGTCAAGCAACGTTGACAGGACCGTGATGAGTTGCTTATCATGCTGTGGGTGGAGGGGGCGGGGACGTAGACGTAGGTGGGTGACATCCAGGGGAACGTAGACGTAGGTGGGTGACATCCAGGGGAAGGTAGCGTCGGGTGCCTCAGATGCAAGTGGTCCTGTCGGTGATGACTTCAGTGACCTGGTAGCGGGGGAGGAAGGCGGTTGTCTGGTCCTTATGATGGTCGAGCTTGATGAGGGCGGGCTCTGAGGTGTGGGTGGAGGGTGGGGCTCGCCACACCATCTGGTACACACATGCGGCCACCAGTCCCCCCAAGATGGGACCCACCCAGTACACCTGTACAAACACAACACACACACTTACTAACACATGTGTTGACACAGTGGCTCGGTTTTCATCATATTTTTATATGGGAGGGATAATCAGTAATCATAAAAAATCATCTATTTCGTGTGTTTAAATTTTCATTTGTTGTCTTAGTTTATATATATATATATATATATATATATATATATATATATATATATATATATATATATATATATATATATATATATATATATATACGTCTAATGTGAAAACTAAACGATGGTCATGTTCACAATATAAATAATCACATTTAAATATTAACTTAAGTGTAGCAACATAAGAACCATTGATCACTCCTTGCACCTCCACTACAGTAGTATAACTTAGCAAACATCTCCGGATTAGTAAAGTATTTACACTTGCGTATAGCGACCAGGGTGTTAGCGTTACTGGTTACCGGTTAAACTTAAGCTGCTACTACAAGGTCACCGTTTATACTTAAGCTGTTACTACAAGGTTACACTTAAGCAAGCGGCTATTAAGCTTATCGGTTATGCTGAGGTGATAACACACATAAGAAGGACTTGAAGTTTCGTGAAAAGCATCTTGGCATTGATTTGCATCAGCAGAGGTAAATACTGTACATGTAGGTAGGTATATATCTCTATCTCTCTCTCTCTCTCTCCCTCTCCCTCTCCCTCTCTCTCTCTCTCTCTCTCTCTCTCCCTCTCTCTCTCTGTCTCTCTCTCTCTCTCTCTGTCTCTCTCTCTCTCTCTCTCTCTCTCTCTCTCTCTCTCTCTCTCTCTCTCTCTCTCTCTCTCTCTCTCTCTCTCTCTCTCTCTCTCTCTCTCAATATAAGGACAAGTCAGTCTCTCACACACACCACGTTCCTACAACAAAATTTTGTTCATTACAGCCCAACTTGACTACTATTGCAAAACGCCTGGCTGGCCCCACAGTACATTTGACTGCCCTTACAGCACATATGACTGTAACACATCTGACTCCCCTTACAACACACCTGACTGGACTTATTGTCACGAGTAAACAGTTCGCTCAAACGCTGATATATATCTTATCATCGACCCAAAACAGCCGCAATGCTCTGCAGTATAATATATACCAATGTTATATCAATATATTTATATAATTATATAAAGCGTAAGATATAAGCACACATGGGTCTATAACGTAGTCCACCTAGCCAAATACCTGTAGGGAATAGGTGTGGGGGTTAACCAGTGCACTAATTAGCTACAGCTACTTCCATCTCCTCTCACCTGTGCTGGCTACGAGGGGTCAAACCGATTGGGCATGCACATGCAAACTAAGGGTCATCACCACACCAGTTACAGAGGTTACAAAGGTTGCAGGGTTAGACAATACTGTTGGTTGTGTGGTGGGTGTTGTGTGTGTTGGGGGGGAGGGGGTAGTATATCCTGTTTTATATACTGGCATACATATATAGGTCCACATGGAGAGGGGAAAGCACATAATACAGGGTTAGACGCGCGGTTACAGACAGACGTGATGGGTCACACACATGTCAGGGGTTTATAGACGGAGATGTGACAGGTGTAGGACATACATGACAGGATTTTAGACAGTAGGGTGTCTTTATTAAGGTGATCACTCTGTTAGACGGGTACAGTACCTTTGCAAGAGGGGGGAGGGGTATCACTAGCAATCTACAATGTCGCATCGTCCCGTAAGCAATGAACCATTAACATTATAAAGAAACACTGTACCGTACTGTACCACAAACTGTGTGATGTTAGTGGTTCACTGTACCATAGACACACCTTCTCCCCTCCCCCCCTAACACAGGTAACATTGATGATTGACATGTGTCAGTACCTTAGGCATTGTTGGATCTCTTATTATACGTGTCAAGTTCAACATCATAGCTTCTCTCCTTCGGCGCCCGGAAGACGTAGGAGTAGATGACGGCTGCCAGCATCCCGCCTAGGATGGGCCCAGCCCAGTACACCTAGAAGAGAAGGCCCGGTCAGCTGTTCTGCCACAACATTGGTCAGCTGTTCTGTCAAAACATTGGTCAGCTGTTCTGTCAAAACAATGATCAGCTGTTCTGCCACAACATTGGTCAGCTGTTCTGCCACAACATTGGTCAGCTGTTCTGCCACAACATTGGTCAGCTGTTCTGTCAAAACATTGATCAGCTGTTCTGCCACAACATTGGTCAGCTGTTCTGTCAAAACAATGATCAGCTGTTCTGCCACAACATTGGTCAGCTGTTCTGCCACAACATTGGTCAGCTGTTCTGTCAAAACAATGATCAGCTGTTCTGTCAAAACATTGGTCAGCTGTTCTGCCACAACATTGGTCAGCTGTTCTGCCACAACATTGGTCAGCTGTTCTGCCACAACATTGGTCAGCTGTTCTGCCACAACAACTCAGCTGTTCTGTCAAAACATTGGTCAGCTGTTCTGTCAAAACATTGATCAGCTGTTCTGCCACAACATTGGTCAGCTGTTCTGTCAAAACATTGATCAGCTGTTCTGCCACAACATTGGTCAGCTGTTCTGCCACAACAACTCAGCTGTTCTGTCAAAACATTGGTCAGCTGTTCTGTCAAAACATTGATCAGCTGTTCTGCCACAACATTGGTCAGCTGTTCTGTCAAAACATTGATCAGCTGTTCTGCCACAACATTGGTCAGCTGTTCTGTCAAAACACTAATCAGCTGTTCTGCCACAACACTAATCAGCTGTTCTGGCACAACACTAATCAGCTGTTCCTCCACGCCACACACCTGGAAAGCCAAACTTACACACCTCGTCTAAGTTGAGGTCCCTACACATGTGGCGACAGCTTATTAACCCTACCCCTGAAGGTATATATACACACCTGTCGAAATTGAAAGTTTAAGCTGCACCTGAAATGTTAGTATTGATTCCTTGTCGAGGATGAAAGTTTGAGAAAGGGTCTATTTCAGGCAGAGACGTTTGGGCATCTTTCCTTACACTTGATGCCTCTGTTCACCTAACAGTAAAGATGGACCTGGGAGTCAGGTAACTGTTGTCAGTAGCCATTTTTTGGCAAAGGGGGATATGAATAAAGACCTTTGTACCTCTATGCCATTTACAGGAAATGGAAATTAGACCTTATCACCCCTACGGTATAGAACACAAGGGCGCCCCATACCCTTGAAGATTTATGTAATCTTGAGGTTATCTTGAGATGATTTCGGGGCTTTAGTGTACCCGCGGCCCGGTCCTCGACCAGGCCTCCACCCCCAGGAAGCAGCCCGTGACAGCTGACTAAAATACCCAGGTACCTATTTTACTGCTAGGTAACAGGGGCATAGGGTGAAAGAAACTCTGCCCATTGTTTCTCGCCGTCGCCCGGGATCGAACCCGGGACCACAGGATTACAAGTCCAGCGTGCTGTCCGCTCGGCCGACCGGCTCCGGTGGTAGCCACTGCTTCAGTCCCAAGTCTGATCTACCTGTCTTTAACTGATAACTACTAATTAGAGAGCCTGATGACTGGTAACTGACCTAAATCGTAAGTGAACTTTACATAACTGTTTAATAGACTAATTGGTATTTTAAATGATAACTAGTAACTGAAATGACTGGTAACTAAGCTACCTGCTCGCTAGTAACTAACCTAACTGATGAGCTGATAAGGAAAACAGGATTTTTTTATTATTTAGAAGTTATTTTGAAGCTATAGTTCATATCTGATTACACGAAACACTATTCCACACCCCACAGATGTGAACTGCTCAGTTAGAGACTGTTGCGGTCCAGTCCTTGAACCACTTGTGCTACTCGAGACTGTTGATATAAAATAACTGTGTAACTAGCTCATCAAGACTGTAACTTGCTCATCAAGACTGTAACTAGCTCATCAAGACTGTAACTTGCTTAGCCAAATGAATTTTTGGGTTCAGTTTCTGAGCCTATTATGTGCCTCTAACCTTTCCCAATACCGCCCACAGGATGGGCATGGGGTCCACTATCACCCACAGGATAGGTATGGGGTCCACTACCACCCACAGGATGGGTATGGGGTTCACTACTACCCACAGGATGGGTATGGGGTCCACTACCACCCACAGGATGGGTATGGGGTCCACTACCACTCACAGGATGGGTATGGGGTTCACTACCACTCACAGGATGAGTATGGGGTTCACTACCACTCACAGGATGAGTATAGGGTCCACTATCACCCACAGGATGGGTATGGGGTCCACTATCACCCACAGGATGGGTATGGGGTCCACTATCACCCACAGGATGGGTATGGGGGTCCACTATCACCCACAGGATGGGTATGGGGTCCACTATCACCCACAGGATGGGTATGGGGGTCCACTATCACCCACAGGATGGGTATGGGGTCCATTACCACCCACAGGATGGGTATGGGGTCCACTACTACCCACAGGATGGGTATGGGGTCCATTACCACCCACAGGATGGGTATGGGGTTCACTACCACTCACAGGATGAGTATGGGGTTCACTACCACTCACAGGATGAGTATGGGGTCCACTATCACCCACAGGATGAGTATGGGGGTCCACTATCACCCACAGGATGGGTATGGGGTCCACTATCACCCACAGGATGGATATGGAGTCCACTATCACCCACAGGAAGGGTATGGAGTACATCATAAAAATACACGTGTTTACATAAATGGATCACATGAATAACTTTATGTATACATATTCACACATTAATATCCCTGAAAACAATAATAGTTAAATCTTTACATAATTTCTAAGAATCTATAGAATACATAGAAAACACTGCATGTATATTTATCTAATAAATATATAATAGTTACTACTGAAAGCCTTAGATTAGACAATATTACTGAATACCTTCGAAGATGAATACTTTCAAAATGCACTTGAGTAAATCTCTTAAGTGAAGTCTTGATAAACTTCCTGGAGTACTCTTAGTGGAGTACATATTGATAAACACACTGGAGTACATATTGATAACATAGTGGAGTACGTAGTACATTCCTCTTGGGAATTATCTTGAGATGATTTCGGGGCTTTAGTGTCCCCGCGGCCCGGTCCTCGACCATGCCTCCACCCCCAGGAAGCAGCCCGTGACAGCTGACTAACACCCAGGTACCTATTTTACTACTAGGTTAACAGGGGCATAGGGTGAAAGAAACTCTGCCTATTGTTTCTCGCCGGCACCCGGGATCGAACCCGGGACCACAGGATCACAAGTCCAGTGTGCTGTCCGCTCGGCCGACAGGCTCCAAGGTCTTCCATATTTTCCAAGGTGTTTACAGATGTCTATCATTTCTAAACATCTGTAAACAGGAAATCTTTCAAGAACACCCTCTCTACACCCAAGGCTACACCTACACCAGCACTCTACCTAGCAGAACACCACAGGGTTCGACTCCAGCAGCAGTAATGTTCACTGTTGAACGGTCTACCAAAGGGAGGGATAGTCTAAGTACAGGCTGTAGCCACTGTACCTGTGTACCATGCACCTCCAAAGGGTAATTACAAAGGGGCATAATTATAAATTAGTGGCATAAAAGGCCTCGATAGCATCATTAAGGTCATCACACTACGATAGGATATCAGGTCACAATATAAGGGGGGACTTATACCATGTTAATGGGACGCGGTGTAAGGGGAACATATATTAATAGGTCAGAATATAAGGTGAAACACAAGCCATGTTATCAGGTCACAGTATAAGGGGGAACACATTATAAGAATCCCTTATACTGTGTTATCATTAACACAGTATTAGGGGGTTCTCCAGATATCATGCTTCGTATAATAATTTATTAAAGAATTACAATTATATTCACACTCCAACGTTTGTGCTAAACGTTTGTGACTGTGTAGTGGTGTATAGTTCCTATAGTGACTGTATAGTGACTGGTGATTTAATTCTCTGAAGGTAAAGTCTGCCTGAAAGTATAATTTGGTGGATTGTATGTGTGTGTATATATGTATGTGTGTGTGTTTTGTTTTGGTCACAGCTGGTGGGAGGTGCCGAGAAAGAGGCAGTGATAAACAATGCCATTTTCTACAAGGTAAACAAGCAACAGTGCCAGAGAGAGCCAACACCCAATACTTAACACCACAGAGAACTATAGGTAAAGAATCCGTCCCCCAAGGTGTCCAAAATTGCATTCAAAGTCAACTATCTACTACAGTTAAGCAGCTATACTCTTCTACAACAATCACTAGCGCTACACCCATCTACGACAATCACTCTATTACCAAAACAAAGCAATGGTGCTACGCCTGTACAGTGGTTAATCTACATCAGCGGATGCGGCTATGTGTAGAGAAGGGAAGCTTAGTACGAACAGTGAGATTAAGATATTAAGAGCTTGTGCTAGACTTTCCGGTTGAGGATTGGGGCTGACGTTTTGGGTCTGGGGCTACAAGGCTACAGTTTGGGTCTGGGGCTACAAGGCTACTGTTTGGGTCTGGGGCTACAAGGCTACTGTTTGGGTCTGGGGCTACAAGGCTACTGTTTGCGTCTGGGGCTACAAGGCTACTGTTTGCGTCTGGGGCTACAAGGCTACAGTTTGGGTCTGGGGCTACAGGGCTAGTTTAAGACTAGAACGAGATGTTTTCGGTCAAGAGGCTATATAATTTGGGTATCTGATTGGCATAAGAATTTTTCTGGGAGTCTCGGGTATGAACTTAGGTCTTACTCTGGGACTGGGACATTCCATTCGGGAATGGTGTTCAGACCTAAAGCAATACGATATGAGCAGTCGAGCATTATCAAGTGCAGGGGTGTTAGTAGCCTGAGGCCAAAAGCAGAATTTCTCGGTTCATGGCCGAGTTGAAAACGTCAGCAGAGGGCTGAAGACGTCACCTGAGTTAATAGAAAACTAGAAGATTGTCAGAATCACATGGAATTACAAGGTCAGCAAACGTAGAACAGTTCCGGAGAAGGGTGTCAGGAGTGGCAAGCAGGGGTCGGTAGGAGCATAGAGGAAGGTGGTATAGGCAGAGAGAGAGAAAGGGGCCGTTGTCAGACCCGCCTTACCCAATGGTTCTCCCAGATACCGGTGACTACCGCTGGACCGAAGGTTCTCGCTGGGTTCATCGACGCCCCCGTGACTGGAACCTGTAATATGTATACACGAATTAGTATACATGTACACACACACACATGGAGGGTCGTTGACCGGATGACGAGGAGATATGTGAAACTAAGACAGTTTTAAGCATGATGAGGGGTCGGGAGTCGGGGTTCAAGAGCCGAGACTCAGCCCAAAAGTACTTTAAGATGAGTAAATGATTATGGATTCAAACTGTTTATTCTTATAACTAAATGGGGTGGGAGATGGATGAGTCATGGTGTGGTATGTTAGTGAATTTGTGAGCGGTGAGTGGGTATGTTGGTGAGTAATTGGGCGTCCGAGTGCGTACTTGGATGAGTGAGTGTGTAAGTGGGTATGTTGGTGAGTAAACTAGTGATTAATTGAGAGACTGGATGATGCGGTTAATGAGTATGATAAGCTGGAGTGAGTACAAGTGATGGGATGAATGAGTGAGAATACGTGTCTGAATGAATGACACACATGACTCGCATGATAACATGAATACCGACATGAGTAAGGAGGAGACTCACGGCCATGAGGTGACAGGCGGTGATGGAGAGACCGATAGCCAGAGGCGCGGAGCCCTTTAGGTCATTTCGCCTCTCGTCTGTAGCGCCGAAAACCACGAGAACCAGGATGAAAGTGATGATCAATTCGACGCCCAAGGCCTGGCCAACCGACACGTTCGAACTCACAACAGTCATACCCAAGTTCCCGGTACTGTTCGTTGACGTCATACCCTGAGGGAAAAAATCAATCGTT